AGTAAATCAAGCATGACCTTGTTTTTAAATGAAATCTCTATAGATGTTCTCATATAAATGGCGAGGAAATCGTCATATTTCTTTATAACTTATATACTATTAAAATAATTCACGTGACACTTGAATAAGAATACATCAAACTGAAATGTATGTATTACAAGCTATGAAAAATTGTGCAATTATGTACATTGTAACAACAATGTAGCTGTTGGTATTTATTTCTATTAAACACACAAATTGTTAATATAAATATACGTGCATTCTAGGGATGTTGATTGTTGTCATATTAACGACATTTTCAAACGTACATACAAATGAACATAACGACGTTATTTGCAAATTAGCCGAAGGCCGTTCGGGCAATTATGTAATGCTGTTTGTCGTGCTTTGCCTGTGTATTTGTTCACGTTGTTAATGTTGTTTCAGTAATTCATCAGCATACAAAATAAAATGAACAGAACCACAGAACATACGGACCGCGGCAAGGCACAGCAAAAAGAAGAAAAAAAAAATAAAGAGTTAAAGAGGAGTGTACATAATTGTTGAAACACTTCGGCTATTTCTATCGATCAAACAGAAATCCGCTTTGTGGGAGATTCGTGGAAAATTTAATGCAACCATTACGTATCACATCAACGTTATTATTTTTTTTTTTTGTAGTTTATGCTCAGTTTTTTTCATTTACCCCGCAGCATACGATAAATAATAGCAATGGGATTTAATTCCTAATGCCCTTCATAAATCCACCCTCTGCCCTTATCTCCTCCACAACATATTTCGTTGTTTGCTTTAGACCAGCTGCTTGTTTCGTTTCGCTCTCATAATACAACAAGAAAAAAGACCGCTCCGCGCCTGGTCTTTGCATCTCGATTTTTAGCATGTAGCTGTTACGTAAGCAAATATCAATTTACCGGTGATACTAGTTTTTTTTTGTGCTTATGTTCGTTACGTTGCATGTTGTCAACAAGTCAGATAGACAGGTTTGCGAGATCTCTGGTTCATGGCCCTAGGTTTTTAATATTTCAAATTTTGTAAGTTGGCACAGAGCAACGAGATAAGATACGGCGTGTTGAGACGAGCAGGAATCCCGTCTGCACGAGGACGGAAGAGTTCGCGCACATCCTGCATTCCATCTACTAGTAGAGAATACCGTCGATACCAGTGCTACAATATCTGTTACAGTCGAAGATAGCAACCCTGTTTATCAAAGTCCATAGTACGCGGAAAGATAAAGGAGATAAATTGCAAAAGTGTCCTATATATTTGTATATAGATATATAGCTTTCACATCCTTCGCAAACCACTCCAAAATGATTCCGTTGAGTATACGGCTCTACGTGTGGAGTGGTTTCGGGTATTGACTCTTCTTTTCACCCTAACAAGAAGATTCGTCCTCTTCCTCCTCCGCCCGTTTCGTAATCAATTACCGCTTGCGCCGAGTTTGCATTTCGATTAACGGTCGCCCGCTAAACGACAAGATTCTGGAATTATCGCGCCATAATTAATAATCCTGCAACACACACAATCGTGGAAAAGGACATGAAATTGCAGATCAATAAATTAAATGATACGAATTCACCAGGCCGTTATTTTCGGACTCACTCTAACTGGAATGCAAACATTTTCTCAACATCCTGAAAGGTTTGAGTTATGTTAATATACTGATGGTAATTTTAATCTCTTGGTTTATTTGCATGATAGTTATTACGAGATAATATGATTTAGTTTGTTGACCTTTTAGAGGAATACTCAAGGTACTGCTTTCTGCTGCATCGCAAATACTTTCATTCCATTATATTCCAAGGTGATTTAGCTTTCAAAACCATTTTCGACTATATGAGATATTGAACTTACTTATGGTGCGTCCACGCAACTACTATTTGCTATTGTGGATACCGATGATAGTAAAATTCAAACGGTAGCTGCAATTGCACAAAGATTAGACTCATGTCACGCGTAGTGTGTGTAAATCAATTTTAATTAGCAAATATTTAGATTACATAAACAGTTTCATTTTACGATATGGCTTTATTGGTCATTGAGAAACGGGTCATAGATTCAAAGAAATTTATTGTTACATCTGGATTTAATCACATCAGATTAAACAACAGGTATTCTTATCAATGTTATCTCCTGTTAGAAATGTATAGTGTAAATATTTTGCATTAATGTGCAATTTATGATAAATTGAGGATGGTTTTAGTACTAATTTCGCTTACATGAAAACCTTCGCATATTCTATTAACAACAGCCAATTGGTAGGGAAGTTCGAATTACTTAATAGACGTTCTTCTTATCAAACATATGCAGCAGTTATCACATACCCGAGGCTGCAGAAGCTACAAATGCATAAGTGATGAATCAATGCCTCAGTCAGCGTGCTCAGACATTCCTCGTGACAATAAAATTTGCATTTCGACGATTTCCTTTCCATCGTCACCATTCTAAGGCTGATCACATTGAAAAACAACAATGCAGAAGAGCCTCGAACAATGGTCACACACCGCCGTATCAGCATCCATTGTGGTTTCGGTCTGAGTATGTGTTTTAGCAGAATTGACACCTGAAAGGTGCGGCGATTGTGAATTATCCGCCACCCTCGTTTTACCATTACCACTCCACGCTGCAAAACATAATTCACGTCCTCCAAATATAAAATCCCTCCGTTCCGCGCTTTTTTTTTCCACTCTATTATTTCGCACCACCCCCAACCCCGTTCTTTAATGAAATACATTTCTAAAAGCGGAGAAGTATAAGAAAAAACAAAAACACGCGCCACTGCAATCTTCTTCATTTAACTATGACATGACGTAATTCCGACCGAAAATTGCATTTCGCCCATGTTTTGCCAAATTACAGTCTACAATGAACAATGATGTTGACGTCATCAGTGTGCAACTTTTGTCGCTTCGAATATTTTCTCGAATGCTACAAAAAGCTGTTATTAGGGTAGAACTACGAGCAGATTCTGCCTATATAGAAGCTTTCTAAGTATTTTTATGCAAGAAACGAACTGATTGGAGAGGTTAGCGTTTTTAAAGTGGCATTAAATATGAATGTAAAAACACAGTTATTACGGGGATGTAAAATGGCTATTTTCTCGGATGCATGTGTGAACGTCGGAGGGCCATTAAATATTCAAGCAATTGTTTTAATGCCTCCAAGGGGCCCGCTTTCAATTACTAAATAGGGATTGGCTGCCCCACTAATCACCTTCCAACCCTCCATACTTCTTACTCTATTTGCACGTCCGACGATAATTATTTTTCAATGCAATTGCCACTTGACTCCTTCATACATAATCAACGAAGTAATCAAATTAAGGACGTTATATCACACGTTGAGGAAAACGGAGGAAATGGGTTGAAAAAGGAAACCACAAATGCAGGGTCGAAGGGTTAATGTGCACAAAATGAACTGTTGTGTTTCGAGCGACGGCTCATTTAGAAAACGTGTAATTGTATTGACTCAAACATCGTTAGTGCCACGGTTTAAGTGCATCGAAATGACTAGTTTAGAAAAGTAAACAGGAATGAACAAATCGACCATCATTTTTCACGCCACGTGGCAGAAAAGTACTTAATTAGTTCAGTCCACTTTCTTTTTTATTTATCTTCCCGTCCTTCCTCTTTTTTTTTCCTCGTATCGAGTTGTTGATTAAATTTAGGTAGCTTTGAAGCCACGAGGGCGAAGCAAAAGTCCGTCGAGGATAAAGTTGGGGAAACTCCTGTTTCAAACACGGGCGAGAGAGCAGAAGAAGAGGAGCAAAAACAAAAAAAAAACTATTAAAATTAATTGAAAGCCTGCTCCCGAGGATTGGGATTAGATTAAGGCTTGTTTAGAGTATTCGCTTTGAGGTAGAAATACAATAGAAGTTATGTTCATAATGGCAGAATGGACGTCTCTGGGGATAATCATAAACCAATTTCAATAACGACAAACTGATGGTTTTTCTGTTTCACTTATCAATAATCTTATGGTGAATAACGGAAGTGGTCGTGTTACAAACACGTAATTCTTACCAATTGATAAGCAACGATAGCCTTCTGACTAATGTCTGATCTCTGGGCAGACTTGTAACTATGATTGCAATATATTGTCTATTCGAAGATAGATATGTACTAGCAGATTAACCAAAGAAAATAAATCTTCGAATATAGAACATGCTCAAATTATTCGAGAAACTCGTTTATACGATTTAATAATAACGTTTTGAATATTTCACATTTTCCAAACCGCTCGCGGTTTGTAAATTCAAAAACAAATACATTCAATTAACGCTGATACACATCGAAATATGCCCATTAAATTTGTGCTGTTGTTGTTTTTACTTTGATTTTACGTCTATTATTATTATTATTATTTTTCTCGCAAAAATAATCTGCATAAAGCACGCATGCAAAACAACTATTCATATTTTTTTTCAGTTTTTTTGGGTTTTCAGTTAAATGCAAATACATTCAAATCACAGCATGCTCCGAAATGGAAACAGACAATACATATATAGAATAATATAAATATTCATTACATTTTTTTCTGTTTTAGAATTTTCTGCACGGGGTTTCGTGACTCCGGTTGAAATAATTTTCTATTAAGTTTATACAATGTGCGGCTATTTTTAGCATTTTTACTAAGAATAATCTGCTCCGCAGCTTCCAGTACATAAAGGATATCGTGGTCCAAGGGTATTGCTTGATAGATATATATTTACGTATTTAATCTATTTCAAGTACTTCCTCTGGGTATCTTGAAGACAGCTCCGTAGATGAAATATGTTTTAACACAATTTTCTATTCAAATTTACCAATGTAACTATTATTATATTCTTATTAATTATTATCGCCACGCAAAGCATATTTTCAAGAAAAATATTATAATTATAAAGTACGTCAGAAAACACCACGGTCATAGATTATGGGCAATTAAGTTATCTGCTTCAAAAATAAATAAAAGACAGTTGTAAAAAATTGCATAATACTTAAATATTGAATATGACTCACCTATCGTACTCCTTGTTATCTTCGTCACATCTTTCGTCTTTCATCTCCTTCCAATTTTTGCCGTGTTTGCAGGTGGTGACTAGTATGATGTCTTGTTCATTATGGAGATGGTACAGCGAGTTCCTGGTGTCCGATCCGATACCATGAACGTATCTTTTCCCTTTGAATGCCAATAAATAGTTTTTATTCAAGGGAAAATTGTTGCTAAGCACGAAGCCGGGATTGCCCCCTTTCTCCGGATGTGTCTTGTGGAACAACGGTATGCTGATGTCAAAGCCATGCCTCAGGTGTTGCTCAGACATGCTGGCCTTTGCAAGAATCGCCTTGCCATAGTCAAAATCAAGGCCGTTTTCTGTGTAGTTAGGCCATGTGCCAGAATATAAGTTGAATATTAAATGGTTCACTCCATTGTTCCACAGTGGTAATTTCTGTATGCGTAATTGTAAGTTCCTTACATAATCAGCACTTAATCTATCCCTATCTAGAGTGTCAAGACTTAAAACAAAAAGGCAAGCTTCTGTAGGATCAGATGTGTAATATCTGGACTCCCTTAACACATTCAAAAGTTTCTGATATGATTGACTAGGTTCACTATCATTTTCATCTGAAGGATATACATAGACTTTGAAGTCATTTTTGCACTTGGTGAAGTCAAAGCAAGTCTCCATCCGACACAGTTGAGTATTCTCTATGGTGGACCTCTCTTTCCTTCTCCCAACACTACCTGTTCGTATGGCACCCACATTTATAAATTCTGGCAAAGTACATACTTCTGAAAGAACTTCTTCACTTTTCTTCCTATAACATCCAAAGTAAACAGAAGCTAGGAATGCACAGAACAGCAGCAGATAGCGTTTCTTTGCCTGCATTATGGGCATTCACATTTTTATTGGAGCTAATTATTTGATACCAGCAGAACTCTTCAAACATTGCTGTGCGCTTTGTTGTTGTTGACGGTTCCTCATAATTGAAATGGGACAAATAAAGCGGGCCCTTATCCACAGATCAGACAGTGCTCCGACAAATCTAACCATTGTAAGCTCCACGATTTGCTTTCTTCGTACAAATGAAAAAATAACTTTCTTACAGATGCCTTTGGGAAACTATTCATTTCTCGGCAATATCCATCCGATTCTCATCTCTTTTATAGTCCAGTTCCCTTCTACGAGCATCCTAAAGTGTGTTTCGGCCACTATATCGTCGACACTCATTCATCATTACCGCTACACATCTCATTTTAAAATACTACTATGAACCATCACTCAAAACATACACCGACATACATACACAACTGGAGCATTTGTACTTATGACGAGTGATGACTGGTTGCTGAATTAAAACTGAACTGAAGTTTACTGCATAACTAACTTCTGTCAAGTTCAGAACCTACGGTTCATTTGCGAACTATATCATGGGTAAAGCATAGGCAGCCACACCATACTCAACGGTACTTCCAAAAGAAAACATTCCATTACTTTCAGATATAGCGTTTCCATCACATCTAAGAAAAGATCATAATTCCTTCTTAGTTACAATTTATTATATTATTTAGAGAACAAAAGTACTTAACAAAGAAACATGTCTCTAATAATATATTTACCCTTACCCATATATAAACCTAGGCAACCAAATCTTCAAAGAATTATGAAATTTCACATCTGAATTCCCTTACTTGGTGACTGTTATTTGAATGGTTGCATCGAAATATATTCAATTTCACTTAGCTTAAAAATCCCAATACTCTGCTAATAAAAATATAGAAATAATAACAAAAAAAAAGCGAAATAATAATGGTATAACAAAATTTTATTCTAAAATAAAATATATGTATTTAAATTGAAACAAAAAAATATAATAATCCCTTTAATCCTTGGAATGCTTCACCTGACTTTGCTCTTTGAAAGCTGAAAACAAGAACTACAACAAGAATAAGTATTGTTTGCAATTCGTTTACATATACTCGTTTATTGTTATTATCATTATTGTACTATTATCATAAATATTGGAAAAAGTAACAAACTATTCTACTATATATTGAGTATTCAGCGATAATATTCGTGTAAAGCATAATGACTGTAGATATATTGCGACACATTCAGGTAATTAAGTTCGAATTTAAAATACCTCAATTCCCATATCCCTGAGAAAGATTCCCATCGGCGTTTGAGAGTTCTTAAAGGCGACGGTTTTATTGACAATCTTGTTCTTGATGTTTCTCATGCGTAACGAGGCGTGGATGAAGGACACTGCAAATAACAGACAATGAATAAACAAGAAATGTAATACCCATTTGTATTGAGTTGTCACCACTTACAGCAAATTGGAATCAGAATGCCTAGCAAGAATACCAACAAAGACCCTAACATCTTGCTCAGTAAAAAGTATCCTAGTGAGAAGATAACCAATGATATTATCATTGGATTCTTCCTGAATAAGTTACCACCAAGTTTTACATCCCTGGACATATAGTATATTATGAAGAATGAGGCAAATAATAAGAATGAGCCTGTGATCATTTTGGTTGGATGTATGGCTCTAAAAATATTACAGACAGTTATTTTGTATACAATTTATAATCGTTAAGAACTAACGTGAAAATAATTATAATTAGAATTGACATCAAAAAGTAGTTTGATTGATAATAGAGCAAATTATTGGAGACCCTTTTGCCCCATTTTTCTATATCATTAACATCTGGCAATTGGAATCTAGCTGAATCCAAAAGAAAGTCATCCAGTGGCCTCAGAGGAGCAAAGCTTAGAGCGTCTGATTGCATGGTTGTAATAAATTAATGCTTTAGTCACTTCTAAAAATAAACATATTATTAATGCTATCTTATAACACTTTATTTATATGTGATAATAAATCAATACTTAGGTTTACTTACTTGCTTTGTAAATTGATGTGAGTTCATTGATGATCACAACTAATTGTCTTATTGAACCTCGTTTGTACTTTTTAGTCACTTACTTAGGGCTATACACTCAGCAGTAGTTCTGACCTGCAATCACTACAATATGACATTTTGCCAACTCTCTGGATCACTCTGGATTCTGCAGTGGCGCCTCTTGAGTGTTGATCTCAAAGTTTTATCCAAAACAACGTTTCATCAAATCAGCTTGTGTTTTCTTTACATCAATTTAAGTAAAATACAGATAATTAGAATATAATTAGTATTTGTATAGTTATCTTATTACTGTAGATTTGTTGTTATCATGAATCAATAGTGATGAGTCAACACAGAAAAAAGTACATCTTAAGCTTTAATTTTAATACTAGAGAGGCGCCACTGTTGAGTATCCGAAATCCTCTATATTAATTTAATAAAATATACACATTTGAACTAATAATATAAAAAAAAGCTTTCAATATAAATATTTAAAATAGCAAGAATATTGAACAGCAAATATACCTAAAATATAGTATGTGTATAGAAAAAAATATTTCTTTTGAAATATACAATTAGAACTACCAATTGTCATAACACTTGTATCTAATGTTGTGATGTGTTGCTGCTACTAATTATCAAAATGCAACCTCAATATGAAGTGCCTTTAATTCCTCAAAATCTCAGAGGAGAGGAAAACATTATTCAAACTGCAGAGGCTATAAATTATCTAAGTGATGTTACCACAGATATATTTAACCGTGTCCAAGAGAGGATTGAATTATACAAGAAAAGAATAGATGATATTACTACCAGAATAAATACATCAAGTGGTAAGTTGGATAGGCTGACTGGTGCTAAGAAAGCTACCCAGGTATTCTCCAGCAGCAAATATCCAGCTGCAGATATTAACACCACATACAAGTCAATATTTAGCTCTGGTAAGCCATTACCTATAAAGAAATTTGCACATCAATATAAGAATCTTCAAATCAAGGATGAGCCTCATGATACATTGCAATTATATCATGTTAAGGTGCAAGATAGTAATAATAAAGAGATTTTAGTTGGTCTGGGACCAGCTCCTAAGGATATAGATGCTGTAAATGATATGCTTTTATATAACACTGGCAAAAACTTGTATAGTAATTATGTACATTCTGATAGTCTTATTATGAACAAGTCATGCAAGGAAGAGGATATTAAGGATGTTTCTGATATTGGCGCTGCTCCACATTCTATAGCTGACAAGAAGAGCATTCACAAACCTATTGGAGAAACGTTCTTCTACTCACCAGATTTAGGAAATGTCCCAACGATAAATGTTCCTTTGGATCTACCTGATTTACCCGGTATAGCAGACGATCTTCGATACGAAACTGAATCTGATCCCAGTATAGCTCCTTCGATAGCAACAACTCCTAATGTACCAGATTTGCCAGCGATAGTTCATGAGGACATTGTTTTACCGAAGATCGAAGAAAGCGTTGTGGAGAAGCATATCGAGGAACCGAAACAAATTGAATTACCGCCTGTGGTAACGCCGGAAGTGATTGAACAGCCAAAAGTTGTTGAGAAAGTGGAACCACCTAAAGAAACGGTTAAGAAAACACGTCCTGATTCTGATGCCAGAGCTAGTTTAATGGAAGCTATCAGACAGGCAGGAGGAACCAAGAAATTGCGGCAAGCTGTGGATGTTGAAAAGTCGTCAAATACGGCCGCTCCGGTATAGTATACTAATCAAAATCATATATCATGAACTTATATTTATATATTTTCTTTTAGTCTGGGGGCGACTTGATGGCTGATCTTCATGCGAAGTTGTCAATGAGGAGGAAAGGTATCTCTGGTAATAAACCTGCTGAAGATTTGGGTGCATCGTCAGTGTTAAATAAACTTTCTGCTATGATTCCTCCGCCTCTTGTTAATGACGATTCGTCTAATCGTAATTCCGACGACGAATGGGAAGACTGAAGATATTTCATATATATTACATTCGAATAATTTAAGTCATATATAAATACAATCGTTTAATATCAAAATCATAATATATATTAAAACAATATCACCAAGGTAAAAAATCAATTTATATCCTCATCTTTTGGAAGTTCGTCATTCAATTTTTTTAATAATAAGTATAATTTCAGGGAGACCTACAAAAATTAATTAATAAAATAGGTTGATATATAAAGCTGAAAAATCTTACATAAGAATCTATAGCAGCATACTTCTGTTGGACATCAGTCAGTGGAATTATATGCCATTTACTATTCCTCACAGCCTTGTTCTTATCCAGTCTCAGTTCAAGCTAAGAAATTATAGGAATTTATTTAATGACAATATACCTAGTATTGTATTGAAAATACTCACAAAGTGTTCAACTAATTTCTGCAGACTCCACCTTCCACTTATGCTATGAAGCTTTCTAGCAAATGTACCAAGATCAGTAACATTATCATAATTCAAATCCAGATTAAAATCTCTTTTTAATTTTGATACATCACTAAAACAAAGATATTCTAAATGTTGTTGTATGAACTATTACTTCTATTACTTCTTAATATTGTTTCCTACTAAACGAATTTTTGGATGCTTAAGGAATTCAACAAGACTCTGGGGTAACTTGGTAATTTTACTAACATGGAATATATATGTTATATCCAGGTTGGGACTAATTTGGATAACTGCTGTTTTACCAGGACCAGTGGTGAAATTAAAAGGCCATTCTAAATCAAAACCTACTGAAATTTCTTCAATGCTAGACTTTGCTCCATTACTGAAAAGAAAATTAATGAATATTGATAAAATAAGAATAAATTAAATCTTACAGTAATTTCTCAGAAATTTCAGCACAATCAATGAATGTTGTGTAGTATTTAATAATTCCATCGAATTTTACGAACGGTGCAGTTTCGAGCGCTTTTCTCTTATTTCTTCTTAAAGCCTAAGAAAAAAAAACACGTTTCTGGCGGGAAAACTACTTTTATTGGTTATTACATACCACTTCCTTACTCTCCGTATTCTTTTCAGCTAAGGGAACTTGAGATCTTGTCCTCATCCTTGTGCTTTCCATCTTCGATGTTAATTGAAATATGATGTTTCTTTTTCGTATTTAAAGGGAATGCTAATACTTTAAAAAAATATTCTGTATTTTACTGATCCTTTGCATTGTTGCCAAGTTTTAGAAACTATAAATTTCCTGATGTTTCATACTTATTTTGCCCATTAACATAGAAATAATTAATTATTATTTTATTACAAATTAATACAATTTTTTTTTGGTAAATATTTAAAAAATGCGACTTGCTAGAAGTTCATTTCAAATTGTAAATATAAGTTTTCTTAAAAAATCTAAACATCGAACTTACATAGGTTTCCTATCGATGTACGAACGTGAGATAGCAGTTCGAAAAAAAATGTAGAATGGAAAACAATGTAATATATAATAAAAATAAGTACATGATCAAAATGAACAAGATGTAGAAAAATAAAAGAAAATATTTATATGATCTGCTTTAAAAGCTCGTTCAGTTCGACTTGTTCGCGTTCCTTGTCAGATTGTTCTTGGTATAGGCGACTAGATATCTCTTGGAACCTTTGCCTCAATGAGTGGTTCTCGATGTTCTCAATTTCAGATTCATGCTGTGCCAATCTATTTTTGATTGTTGCAATCTCTCCCTGGACCTCTTCCAATCTCGTTTCAATATTCGCTAAAAAATAGACATTAGTAAAGATGAAAACTAACATTTGGTATATATTTACCTCTAGACAAATTCATTGAAGAATAACAGACACTAGATGACTGGGGCTGATAATAATCTAAGTCTTGTAGTGGTGATATGTCCATTGAATTAAACATATCTGTCGAAAATTCGGTCAGTATCTTGGAGTCAACAGTGTTGTTCTGAAACATTGAATAAATTATAAAACTGTTTATATAACTACCTATAAAAATAATACCATAACTGAGTTTGAATCTGTTAGATGACTGTCTTCAGCAGAATTCTGGCTTGTCTCGTCCAATTCCAATACATGCAAAGTGGCATCCTCTTCCTCAGAATCACTCACTGCTCCTCCAAATATATCATGTTCAGCAACATTGGGGTTTGGATCAATTGGTTCCTTCTTAATCACAGTTCCTTTATTGACTTTATTGTCATCATCTTCATTTAAGACTTCCCATTTCACACTCACCTAAATTAAATATTTAAAATTTTCCATCAAACTAGACTACACTACAATACATACAGCATCATTATCTATTCTAAGAAGCCTTTTCACTTCTTTTTCAATCTCTGGAGCTTCGACATACTTCTTTTTTAATGTTTTCCTGAATCTTCTCCTCCTAACATTCTTTGTTGGTGGTGTAATACCATGAGGCCATAGATATTTCTTCTCCACCTTTAATGAGTCCTTCTTCTTAGTTTTTTGAGGAGAATCTTCATCAGTCACTTGGTCATCCTCATGACGACATAACAGCATCTGACAGATATCAGCCGTTTTATAGAAACCTTTTCCATCAATTGTTTTCAATGACTCAACTACAGTTGGCAAATCAACAACTTTGGCAATCATGAGCCATTGGTCAACTCTTACTTCCCCATGTCGAAGGTCATTATCAATTTTTAAAGAGATTATATCTTTTAAAGTGCTATTATTTCTAATGGCTTCGCGAAGAACTTTTGCTGGCTCCTTAAAAATAAATTAAAGTTAAACAGTTAACTTACATTATTTATAAAATTCTTTACCATTGGTAATCTCAATATAAACTGAGACTCCAGTTCTGAATCAGGATCAAATCCTCGATTATGGTTGCGCTCCATTGTATCTCTTCCAATATACAGAATAAACTAAAATAAAACACTTACACAAACCTGACTACATCCAATAATCTCAAAAAAAATATGTTATCAATCTTCAACAAAGTTTGTTCGTTTTACAAAAATGTTGAGATTGCATTACAAGAACTAAACCAAACAAAACATAATTGCTGAATTGCTGTATTATGGTTATACTTATGATGGTGGTATGCGTGGAATTTTGTATCTGGCATGACAGTTGCAAACTTTTTGAATTTGCTATCCTACTTTTAAATCTTGCAACATTGTCACCAATGAATAATATTACTTATTTATAAAATTATTTTGTAAGGTAAATTTCATTAAT